TCGTGTCAACAGAATTGCAACAGGCATAGGCCTCAGAATCCACCATGATAAAACCAAGGTTATGAAATTGAAGAACAAGAACACAACCAAAATGTGTGTGCATGAAATAGATATAGAAGAGGTAATTCTGACAGGGGTACAGTCACTTCGCCCGAAATCCACTTCGCCCGAACTCCTTCGCCTGATTACCAGTTCGCCCAATTACCGGTTCCCCCGTTTTCCTTTTCGCCCGATATACCGATGTCACACAGTAGGCCTACTGGGGGTTACGATTTGAAATGTACATCTGGTAAAATGCATAAAATCTACAATATGATCGCATTTTAGTCAGGGTTTCTTGCTGACGCAAACACTGCAACTGATGTCCGCCATTGCGGGTAGTCATCCCCATTCACAATAGATATGCATCGGTCGTCATACACAGATTTTTCACTTGTTTCACCACCGGTGTTTGAATAAAATAAATTTAAATACAATTTATATAGTACCAATAATATATTATTTCCTCTTTTTTTACAGTCAGAGAAATGGTTAATGTTAAATGTAACTGGGAATTACCAATATTCAATAATATGCAACAGGTGATACTTTGAATTATGACGACGAGGCCATCGACTGTACGAATGAAAACCCAAGTTATTTTATCTGAATAATAAAACAGGTTTTATAATTGAAAGTGAGCTTATAACAGAGAGCATGAACACGCTTGTGGCACGACGAATATCAATAGTACATTCATTGTCATTGCGACCTGTTTTTTTTTAGAAAAAAAACCTTGCAACTTAGCACAGTATTTCCACGTTTACTTTTACAACTGACTGTGCGGTACGTTTACACTATTTCCCTGTTATACAAGTCGTTAATCGACGCAATTACACCATGATTACTTTGAAATATGCCCGAAACTTAGCATAGTACATTAACATTTTTTTACATGTTCCCCTATTTATTTAGTTTTTCCTCAACTCAATTTGTTGAATTGTTGTAGCTGTGTTTTACTGTGTCAAGTTACCAAAAAATGCTAATAGTAAAGGAAAAAAAGTTTTATCAGATTGGAATTACATTAAAAACAGAGGTTTACATTCTTATACAAAAAAAATGTGTTTTTAAAGGGTCACGGTACATTTAATGAAAGGAACTACCACCATCAAACAAAAAGGTATGACTGTCCCTCAACTCAGTGTTTCCTCCCGATACACAAATGGTATGACCCACACAAGATGGCCGCAACGGCATAAAATTACGCACAGTCCCTCAACACTGAGGGACTGTGAATTACGTTACAACCCCGTTGTATACTTCACGTTCGTCACCTTATAAAAACAAATTTCGACTTCTACGTTATCTTGTTTTGACTACACGTAAATACCAAACATGCGAGGAATCAGGCGAACTGGTAATCGGGCGAAATGGCAATCGGGCGAAATGGTAATCGGGCGAACAGGTAATCGGGCGAAACCGTTCGGGCGAAGTGGTAATTGGGCGAAATGCCCCCAATTCCAGCTGACAGTAGCATTGAGAAACAAATCTCCACTAGAATTCTGATTCCCGAATTTCTGTCAGATGCGATGTAATCCTTATTGCGCATGTGTAACCTACCTAGCAACGGGCGAGGGAAGGACAAAAATATAAAAAGTAAAAAATCAAAACACATGCAACACGGAAGAAATCAGCGGCATATATAAAACAGTTTTTAAAAGATAGTGGAGTGAGTGTATGTGGGTACAAGCGGGGGCATCTAGAAGAACTTTTTAAGAAAAGTGGATTTCCATTTGAAAAAGACGATTTTTTTTAGAGAAAATGGTCTGAAATGGGAATGATACGTGTGTGTTTCACTGAGTAAATATTACATGATAGCCAAAGATCATTCGGATGCTCTTTATTCTTGCTCAGGCAGAATAGTGTGCACATTTTCAGAGGCTGGTACGAGTTAGTTGAAGGATGATGGCAGTTTTATTTCAGGGGATTTTTTACATTGCGAGTTGGAAACATTGGTGTTTGGTGTATTGCGACTCTGCATGTTTGGAACGTTTGAAATCTGTCCTACCTTCCTGGTTTGTTGACCCCCAGGTCATGCAATATGTGCAAGCGCACAAATGATGCACGTGCCAACGCTATCAATTCGGGAACAGGGAATTGGTCTTATGGCACAAACCTTAAGCAGACTGCAGAATATCTGGAAATAATCAGTCCTGGAAACCAGCATCGAGTTGAAAATCTACAAATCAAATGTCCAGTCGACCCCCTTGTATGCAGCAGAAACTTGGAGAACCAACAAGAAGATTGAAAGTAGGTTCAGAGACTTTGAAAGCAGATGTCTTCGTCCTGAAAGTACACTGGTCACAATATATTACAAACAAAGAAATCAGTAGACGCACAGGTATCAAAAATATCATCCATGAATCATAACAAAGACGCTGGCGATGGCTGGGCCATATTAATGAGAATAAATAAGACCAGGCACACAAACACAGCACTCAGATGAGCACAACCACGAAACAGGGGATGAGGCAGACCATCAGGCACCTGGTGGAGGATAGTGGAAGGGGAATAGGTAGAAATGGGGAAAACCTGGAACGAGATTCATTGGCTTGCTCAAGATCGTGAAGGCTGGAGAAGTTATATTGCGCCTTATGCTCCAGTGGTAGTGAAGAAGATTAAAGAGCGGTGCGTAGATCAACGAGTACTAACTGGGATGTTACCAAGCTTTAATTGGGTATTTTTAGGTGATTGGAAGATATCGAAGGGGTAACCGGCGGTAGTTAGTGAAACTCGTGCCCATGTCAAACCTCATACTTATGATTTCCATTAGAATAGCGCATTGGATTGTGGGAAAATCAATGTTTATCAACACAAATGTCGCACATGCGCAGCGCGACGACTGGCGGCCTTTAAGCTAGACCCAGGCAAAACAGGTTTCACTAGAAAAGCACATTTGATTGTGGGAAAATCAATGTTTATCAACACAAATGTCTACCACCGCCCTTTAACGCTTTTCGAATGCGTTTACCCATATTTGTATTTAAGTTTTGTTATTCGTGTTGAAGTTGAAACATGAAATGTTACATACACCATGGAGCTAACTCCATCTGCTCCATGCATGTAGTATGCAAGAATCTGACATTATAAATTGAAGAAAATTATGGTTTGAAAATTATCTGAAAAATATAAATAATTTCAACCTTCGAAAATGTTAAGTAAATTTAGACACAGTGATCACAATATAGAGATGAACTAGGGAGAAGGAACAAACCAAAAATTTTGTTAGATGACAGAACATGTAATCAGTGGCGGATCTAGGGAGTTCTTAGGGTCCGGAACCACTCGTTGAAAAATATATTCAATTTGTTTTTGTATAATATAAACAAATCATTAACTTAGTCTGGCGATTTTAAAGTTTAGACTCCCCCCCCATAAACAAATCCTGTATCCACCCCTGGTAATAGATGTAACATAAATTACCCCCCCCCGTACTCTTGATGATGAGAAGCATTATATCCTTAAATGTCCTTCCTTTAAAAGTGAAAGGAAACGACTTTTTGTAGATTGTGATCTCAAGTCTAATTTATCCGAGGTAATGAAAAATGCATAAGCCCTTAAAGATACTATCTATAAATGTCCTGATTAAAAGTTGCGAAAATCTTGTAGTTATTATTTTGATATTTCTTTATTTTTTCAGTTTTACTGTTTTTATTATATCTGTTTATTTATGTCTTGTTATTATTAGATTTTATTGTTATTACTGTGCCAAAGAAAATAAACCCCGAATGTACGTTTAAAAACAAACAAACGAGTTTTAGTTTATAATTTTAGTATTTTGTAAGAATTTACTATAAGCATGGGTCTGCCGTCATCGTTTTTTTTTTCTAGTCAGTATGCACGCGCTTCTTGAAACGCCCCCATTTGACCAAATAGTAAAATCGTTCGGAAATATCCCATAAGCACCTCTTCCAAAATGGCGGATACATGAAGGGGGAAGTTGTGAATTTCGCTAAATATCTTGTATATTTTAAAGTTGCTTCAATAACTAAATACAATTTTAGTGTGAATTGAAGCAGAATTTATGAGGCAACATGGAGCCCAACGAGGAGCACGTGCAGACCCTTTTGACCATGGGATTTTCTGACGTCAACGAGATACGCAAGGCACTACGTTTGGGAAGAAACGATGTAAACGAAGCAGTTGCTATTTTAACAAACGAGCAACCAGGTAGCAATTTTGACACATTGGACGATGTCGAAATGAAAGACGTTCAGAGTAACCCGTCAACGACGCAGGTTGGGAGTCCAGGATGCGACCCGCCGCCACCTAGTTACGACGAAACTGTAGAGCCAGTGTCAGAAGTAAGTTCTTGTGCGATATCACGATTTATCTCGCCGGCGCCGGTGGTCGATGGGGCGTGGGCGAACGCGATAGTGATAGTGATTTGGGCACATGTGGATAAAAAAAATGTTTCATTTCAAATGTCACGTTATCCACTGCAATTTATCACATCCAGTTTGTAATTTTGCAATGTCACTTGATTTAGCTATTGTCACCGTCGGTGCATGGTACTGTTTTATTAGTAGTCACGCGAGTTCACATCACGACGTCATTAGCCGATTCGGAGAACTTCTCAGAAATCATTAGTTTCGGAAAACTTCTCAAAAATCATTAGTTTCGATACGGGTTGTTGGTATGGTGTGATGTGTACTATTGTCACTTATCAGAAGTTGTGATCGTCTAAACGCACCGCCCTGACCTCGACCACTAGTACTGACGTTGTCATGCAATGTTACCTTAGTCCATGTCATGGTCCATGTGTCATTGTTATGACGTAGGCAAGAGTTCCTTTTGTACCCTCATCCCTAACCCTAACCCTAACTCTAACACTCACTCCCAGTTACCCAATTCATTCGTATATGCCCCTCTAGATAACTATAGATGTCCTTAGGAGGGGCATGTACAATTAAATGGGGTGTGCTGGAGGGTAGGGGTAGGGTTAGGGATGGGGGGTACAAAAGGAACTCTTTTCATGCTGTATTTAACAGTAAATTTTTCATATCTGTAAAGGTATACAAACGTTGAAATTTCTGCTTCTGAGAGTATGAATATTTGATTATATAGATCAAGTACCATTTCACTACTAGATCTAGTACCATTTCACTACTAG